CTGGGGTGCCTGGCCAGCCTGGGTGAGGGGATGATGGCTGCTTGCAGCTGTTCACACACCCTTCGGGGGGCGGGGGCGGTCCCCACTGGGGTGCCTGGCCAGTCTGGGTGAGGGGCTGAGGGCTCTTTTCAGGCTGGGGGTGACGGAAGCTCCCAACCGCTCCTTTTTTTCTTTTTTCTTTTTTTATTCTGGGCCAGCTTTAGCTTTGAGGCTTGGCTCCAGCTCTTAGGCCTCTGCTGCTGAAAGTAGGTTTCTGGCCTTTGCTTACAATGTTGCGATCCTGCTGGCTGAAGCCTGGCAGACTAAAGCAGGTTTCTGGGCTTTTGTTTAGCTTCTATATTTGTTACATAGTTGCTTAGAGTTGCAGCTCAGTGGCCTGCAGCGGCAGGCGGGGAACGCTGGAGTCCTCCGTCACTGAAGCAAGCAAGCCTCATGTTAGTTTCAAGCTGCCTGGCTGCCGGCCGCCATCTTGGCTGGCAGTTAATTTGCATATTGCCCTGATTAGCCAATGGGAAGGGTAGCGGTTGTATGCTAATTACATATTTCTCTTTTTTTAGATAGGATAACCTTCCTAGATAGAATCATGAAGAATTAAAAAATCTAAATAAACTAATCAATAGTATGGAAATTTCAAGTCATTAAAAACTTCCCAAAAAGTAATAGTCCAGGACCAAATGGATTCAGTGAATTCTACTAAACAGTCAAAAAAAACTTAATACCTATCCTTTTCACTCTTCCAAAATATTAAAAAAGAGGCAAAAATTCCTAACTCATTTTATGAGGCCAACATTACCCTGATACCAAAAACAGGTAAGGAAAACATATACACACTCAAATTATAGGCCAATATCTCAAATGAATATAGATGCAAAAATCCTAAACAATTAACTAGCAAATTGAATACTACAATACATTAAAAATATAATATATCACAATCAATTGGGGTTCAGGCCAGGGGTGCAAGTATGGTTCAATATATACAAATTGATGAATGTGATATGCCACATTAACAAAATAAGCAATAACTATGATACGATCATATTAAAAACTACAGAAAAGCATTTGACAAGATACAACATTCATTTATGATTAATAAAATTCTCAACAAAATGGGTATAGAAGAAATTACTTAAACATAATAAAGACTATATATGATAAACCCTCAGCTAATATATTCAATGGTAAAAAAACTGAAAGCTTTTTCCTCTAAGATCAGGAACAATACAAGGATGTCCACTTTCACCAAACTGGGAAGAAGTAAAATAGTCATTTTTTGCAGAGGACATAATTTTTATATAAGTATTAGAAACAATAAGTAAAGTACAATAAAGTTGCAGGATACAGTGTAAAAAAAATATTGCATTCCTATATACTAACAATTAAATTTCATGGGAAAAATTGAAACAATTCCATTTTGCAATTGCAACAAAAAGAATAAAATATCTAGGAATAAACTTAAAGGATATGAAGGACCTATACACTGAAAACTATTAGACACTGTTGAAAGAAATTGAAGACAACACAAAGAAATGGAAAGATATTCCATGTTCATGAATTAAAAGAATTAACATAGTTAAATGGGCATATTACCTAAAGTAATATACAACCCTAATGCAATCCCCATCAATATCCCAAAGGCATTATTCAAAGAAATGAACCAAAAAAATCCTAAATTTGTACAGAACCACAGAAGACCCTGGATAGCCAAAGCAATTCTGAAGAAAAAGAACAAAGCTGGAGGTATCACATTCCCTGATTTCAAGTGATACTACAAAGCTACAATAATCAAAACAGCATGGTATTTGCAAAAAAGCAAACAAACAAAATAAAACAAATACATGAACCAATGGAACAAAATCGAGAGTCCAGAAATAAACCCGTATGTATGGGCAACTAATTTTCAACAAAGAAGCCATAAACATATAGAGGAGAAAAGGAAGGCTCTTCAATAAATGGTGATAAGAAAATTAGAAAACAACATGCAAAAGAATGAAACTAGATTGGTATGTGACACTGCTACTTTACACAAAAAGTAACACAAAATAGATCTAATACATAAATATAAGACCTAAAACATTAAAATACATAAAAGGCAGGTACTGGGTCTCAGAGAGGATTTTATGAATTTGATCCCAAAGGCAAAGGAAGTAAAGCAAAAATAAATAAATGAATGGGACAATATCAAACTAAAAAGCTTCTGAACATAAAAATGAAACTATAAACAAAACAAAAGGCAACTCACTGAATGGGAAAAATTATTTGCAAAGAATACCTCCAATAAGGGGCTAATATCCAAAATATATAAAGAAGTCATACAACTCAATAACAACAAAAACTGTTCCAATTAAAAAATGGGCAGAAAACCTGATCTGACTCTTTTCCCAAAAAGACATACAAATGGTCAACAGATATTTGAAAAAATGCTAAATTTCACTATTTATAAGGGAAATGCAAATCAAAACCACAATGAGATAGCTTCCACTTGTTAGAATGATTATTATCAATAAAACAAGAAATAACAAGTGTTATAGAGGTTGTTGAGAAAAGGGGACCCTCATACAGTGCTGGTAGAAATTTTTTTTAAATATTTAAGATTAAATTTATTGGAATAACACTGATAAAATTATATAGGTTCAAGTGTGCCAGTCTATGATAAATGTCTTATCTGTAGATTGCATTGTGTGCTCACCACCCAAAGTGAAATCTTATTCCATCACCATGTATTTGACCTCCTTTACGGTCCCCACAATTTTCATTTCCTCTGGTAACCACCAAACTGTTGTCTGTGTCTATAAGTTTTTGTTTGTTCATTTTTCTTTTTGTTCATTTGCTGCTTTTAGTTTTATATGCCACATATGCATGAAATCATATTTTACTTTTTCTGTCTAATTTATTTCACTTAGCATGATATTCTCAAGATCTATTCGTGTTGTCACCACTATGAAAAACAGTATGGAGTTTCCTTAAAAAATTAAGAATAGAGCTAGCATATGACCCAGCAATCTCTATTCTGGGTAATTCCTAATAATTTGAAAATATTTATGCATAAAGATCTATGTACCCCCATGTTCATCATAGGATCATACTTGAAAACAACCTAAGTGTCTTTTGATGGATGACTGAATATAGATGATGTGGTTCATACATACAATAGAATACTATTCAAATAGAAAGCAACCAATGAACAAACAATACAAACTACCTCATAGAGATAAACAACAGTATGGTGGTTACATGAGGGGAAAGGGAATGAGAAAAAGGTTGAAGAGAGTAAAAGAGGTCAAATATATGGTGGCAAAATGAGAGTAGACTTTGGGTGGTGAGCACAGAGTGCAATATACACATGATGTACTATAGAATTATATACTTGAAAGTTATATAATGTAATTAACTAATGCCAACCCAATATTTAACTTTTAAATGAAAAAAAATTTAATGTGTTGAACACTTACTTTGTATAAGGGGGTTATGCTAAGAATTTTCCGTGTATCCTTTAACTCAGTTATTTTCTTACTAGAGGCCCGGTGCACAAATTACAGCACCAATGGGTCCCTCAGCCTGGCCTGTGAGAACAGGCCGAAACCTGCTCGCCAACATACCCCGAGGGTCCTGGATTGTGACAGGACACAGGCCAGGACGAGGGACTCCACTAGTACATTATCGGGGCCGAGGAGGGACACAGAAGGTTGGCCAGCTGGGGAGGGACCGCGGGAGGGCTACAGGGCATGTCCGGCCCGTCTCTCTCAGTCCCAATCGTCCAGACCCCAGCAGCAAGCTAACCTACTGGTAGGAGCATCTGCCCCCTGGTGGTCAGCACACATCATAGCAACTGGTGGACCAGTCGAATATCTTCCCCATGGTGGTCAGTGCACGTCATAGCGAGCAGTTAAGCAGTCTTTACATATCATTAGCATATAACGCTTTGATTGATTGAACAGATGACTGGACAACAAGACACTTAGCATATCACGCTTTTATTATATAGGATCATCCGATGCAGATAACTTTTATTAATCTTTATTTTTTACAATATTACATATGTCCCTTTTTTTTCTCTATTGACCCCTACTAGCCTGCACCCAACCCCACCCCAGATCTTCACCACACTATTGTCTGTGTCCATAGGTTCTCTTAACTCATTTAATCCTATAAGGTAGATAATACAATTAATCCACTTTTACCCATGACGGAACTAGAAATCAAAGTTCCACAGTTAGTAAAGATCAGATTAATATTCAGAGTCTGGCTCCTCAGACTATGTTCTTAATTACTCTAATACATGGATGGGGAACCTTTTTACTGCCAAGGGCCATTTGGATATTTATAACATCATTCGCAGGCCATACAAAATTATCAACTTAAAAATTAGTCTGCTATATTTGGTCAAACATTTAACTAACTCAGAGGTCAAATATATGATGCCTTGGCAGAGCCAGACCAAATGATTTCATGTGCATTATATGGCCTGTGGATGGATAGTCCCACCACTATTCTAATATGAGAAAGTGGGTGTTAAGTGTATAAAAATGTAACATGTGCTATGGGATATTTTTAGCTTGAAAGGCTAAAGGCAGCTCCAGATCTAGCAACATTTTGTCCAGAGCTAAGAGGAGAAAACAGCACATTATTTAGATAATATTTTTGCTAATTTGGCCAAATCAGTAAGTTATTTCACTTTAAATCTTAACCATATAACAGAAAGAAAAGAAAGAAATTCAAGAAGAAATGTACTCAAGAACAAGGAACTGAAATTGTAGTATCAAAATGTTAAGTGAACAGATTTTATAAAGTATTTAGAATGACAGTTATGTCAGGATAATTATCCTTAGGTGCATTTTCGAAAGTAATACATATTTTAACCAATACACTATTCCTGTAAAAATAAACATAAACTGAGATATAATAGTGGGTAAATTTTAGACTAATTTAATAGTTCTAAATTTTAAAAGAAAACCCATTTTTATTTTCATCTTCAGAATAACATGACAAAAGGTAGATACCTATTTTTTCAGGCTTGAGTAGCTTGAAAGAGACAGTTGAGGTTCCTTTGCCACCTGACTTGGTTGTGACAATTATGTCTCCTTTGTCATTTTTGGCTTGTCCAACTCGACATACTATTTTACTTGCAGACATCCATTCTGCTGTCAGGAGGCAATTATGTCCACAAATTGCCAAACCTGAAAAGAAAAAAAGCATACAAAGTTCAGAAGAACAATGATAAGAATTAATCATGTCTATTACATAAAAATACAATTCTACTTCCTCCATTTAGTAATACCAGACCTTTTCAAGAACTGAAAAATAAATCTAGAAATAACATTTCCTTGCTCCCTTATTCCTATTATTGAATACTAGAGGGCTGGTGCACGAATTTGTGCACGGGTGGGGTCTGGCCAGCCTGCCCTGATGGGGGCCCATTGGGCTGGATAGCGGGGGGAGAGGAGGAGATGGGAGGGGCTGTGGGAGGTTAGTCGGCCAGCCCCACCCCCGATTGGGGAGTTGGGGGCCGATCAGGGGGCGGGTTCATCCGGGGGAGGGACCGCGGGAAGTTGGCCAGCCGACCCTGTCCCAATCAGGGTGTTGGGGGCCAATTGGGGGCAGGGCAAGATGGGGGGAGGGGCCGCAGAGGGTTGGCCAGCCAGCCCCACCCCGATGGGGTGTTGGAGGCCAATTGGGGCCCAGATCAGGCCTACTGGCTACTGCAGTGTGGGTCATAGACACAGGTCATTCCCGTAGTTCTGGTCATTCTGCCATTCCAGTCACTGGGCTTTTATATAGATATCCAACATTTTTTGCAAATATACCAGTCTCTCTTGATTTTTGTCTAAATTTTTTACTCTAATACTATATTTGACTTCTTTTAGATTATATTTAAGTTTATTCAAACATGAATGGAATTAGGTTATAATGCCCATAATAATAATGTATAGGTATTAGATCAGCGGTCACCAATCTTTCGGACCTCACGAACCACCAGTGGTCCACAGACTACTGGTTGGCAACCACTGCTCCAAAGGTTTCCTTAAACCAGTGGTCGCCAACCTTTAGGCGCTCACAGACCACCAGTAGTCCGCAGACCATTGGTTGGTGATCGCTGTTCTAGATTACTTAGACTAAGAGAATCTTAAATTACATTAATGTATATTAGAAGGAAAGTTATTGCTATTATTAGAAATCTAAGTTATTGTTATAAAATTCTAAAGGATAGATGTATATATCATTCCCTAATAACATATTTATACATCTCCCTGAATATAATATTCATATACTTTTACTAGTGTTCAATCATACATGGTGCAAAAGAATGAACTAAAGTAGATAATTTATTATAAGAACAGCCTGGAGTCTGGTAAATCCAGTAAATGTTCTCAGGCATTACTGGTTAACTATTTCATTTTTTTTATTTCATTATTATTCCTCTAACGATAATTCACGCTGCCTTAGTGATTCCCTAATGATACTGTCACTACATTACATTCTGCTTTCACAATAAACTCGCACTCCAAAAAGGTCAACACATGCCTGCCATCTCAGGCCCCGATTCCATGTAAATTACAATTTAGGCAGTAACCAAACAGATAGGCACTGAAAGATTCTAGTGAGGAAGACATGGCCCAAGGCAGAACACTGAAATACCACCATGTGTACACACTGCCAGCTAGTCTACTAACTGATTTCTTCTCTATTTTCCATTTCCGCAAAACAGAGACCAATCTATCTATACTAATAAAAGGGTAATATGCTAATTAGACAGGACATCTTCCAGACATCTTCCAGGCGTCCTACCAGACAAAGCCATGGTGAAGGGGGTCGAGGCAGAGGCTATTGGGGGCAATCAGGCCAGCAGGGGGGAGCAGTTAGGGGGCGATCAGGCTGGCAGGGGGGAGCAGTTAGGGGGTGATCAGGCCAGCAGAGGGAAGCAATTAGTGAGCAATCAGGCCGGCAGGGGTGAGTAGTTAGGGGATGATCAGGCCAGCAGGGGGGGACAGTTAGGGGCGATCAAGCCAGCAGGGGAGGGGAGTAAGGGGCAATCAGACTGGCAGGCAGAGGCAGTTAGGGGTAATCAGGCCAGCAGGGGAGGGCAGTTAGGGGCGATCAGGTCAGCAGGCAGACGCAGTTAGAGGCAATCAGGCCAGCAGGGGAGCAGTTAGGGCAGTGGTTCTCAACCTTGGCTGCACATTAGAATCACCTGGGAATCTTTTTAAAATCCTGATCTCTGGTGATTAGAGACAATCAGGCAGGCAGGTGAGCAGTTAGAAGGCAGTGGTCCTGGATTGCGAGAGGAATGTCTGACTGCCAGAAATCCACCGAGGGGTCCTGGACTGGAGAGGGTGCAGGCCAGGCTGAGGGCCCCCCCCCAACCTCCACCTCACTAGGGATCCTACCCATGCACAAATTTCATGCACCGGGCTTCTAGTATAATAAATATTCATGGAGAAAATAAACCAATATGTGGCATAGACCAGAACACTTCACATTTTCCTTTTTTATTATGTAAGAGTGCATACTATTCAGCAGTCGAGTTTGGTAAATATAATTTTTTTTTTCCAGGAACACATGCCCAATTTGGTTGAAAAAATGTAGGGAGGGATTCATGTTCTGTTATATAACTTAAAGCACTATTTAGTAAGAATGTTATATTAACAATAAAGGAATAAAAAACAACTATATTTTTAAGACATCCTTTGAAGTAATGAATTTTAATGATTCCCCTCAAACATTTATTATTTATTCATGTATGAAATTTTGTCTTACTAATAAAGCACTTGAAGGTTTCTGTTGGTTTTTTAAAATATGTAATGACATTCACATATTTTTAAATGCATTCATAATTCAAAATTATTTTTTCCAAAATGGGAATGTCTTAGATATCTTTCCTGTTATTCAATTTTTGTCACAAAAAATTAAATAATTTAAGAAACTGAGTCCAGATGATGTGGTTCAGTGGTTGAGCATCAACCCATGAACAAGGAGGTCACAATTCGATTCATGGCCAGGGCACATGACCATGTTTCAAGTTCGATCCCTAGGAGGGGGCAGGAGGCAGATGATCAATGATTCTCTCTCATCACTGATGTTTGTAACTCTCTCTTACTCTACCTTCCTCTCTCTGAAATCAATAAAAACATATTTTAAAAAAAGAGACTGAATGCATCTCTAGAACTCCTTACCACCTCCAAGATAAACACTGTGAAACACTTCAATGCATATTTGCTCAAATAATTTTTATGCATACATAAAGCAGTCTGTGTATTTTGTAAATGAATGGGAACTGTTTTAAATTACAAACTATTTAATTATAGATAACAGACATTTTGATATCGCTCAGGGCGATTTTTAAGTTAATTTTTTTAATTTTACTATTTCAAAAAGTATTTCAAAAATTACTTCAGAAAGGAGAAAAACTGAACAACAAATGCCAGGGCTTAATGTAAAGTGATTCCTAATGTAAGTTACCTGATAGAGAACTACCTTATGATTAAAACTAAGGAATGGGAACAACTATCAGCAACAGAGACATGAAGTCTTAAAAACACATTCAGATGAGCAAACATGAATAGATACCCATAATGGTACAACTTGAAAAACTATTTCCAAAAAACAACGGTAGATTCATTTGGTCATAGCTGCTATCAGTGTTCCTCTGATTTAATATATATTCTTCACTTTAACTGAAATAAAATTAATAATCAAGTAATTTTAAACATAGATTCAAATGGATCACTTAAAATGTCATGAAAATTAAATAGCATCATAAGACCACTTCTTAATTTTGTAAGCACTTTTGCTAAGTTACTGAAAGCTACGGAATCTGCTTCATGAAATATAATAACATCTTTTTTTAAAGTAACTTGTAGAATTCCAAATAAAGTGTTTTTATAGTGTTTTACTTGGCTAGTGTAGATATCATCTGAGTTAAAAACACAAACAATTTAGTAAGTTAAATTTGCTTTTTTTAAAAATGGTTGCACGGTTATGCATAGACAGGTTGAAAGCTGAACTACCAAGGTTTATAAAAATAATACACATTTACTCAAATAAGAATAATATTGCCAAAAACTAAAGCAAGATTAAAATTTACATAGACTAGTAACCATCGTTTTCAGAAGGTCACAATGACTGCCAATTAAAATGGGGGATGTAATCTATGGTCTCTTTTCATACATCCTGGGAATTTTTCCCCTTTGGACAAAGAAAATTCTGGAATGGGTTATATAAAAAACCAAGACATAGGATTAGATAAGACTATCTTCATAAGAATAAATGTGTTTTATTTACTGAAGAATCAACAACTATAACTAGAGAAACAATATAAAGTGTTACATTTAAATAACACTAGCAAAAAGAATTAGCTGGGTAGTGAAAAATTCAGTTATTAATCATAGTGTGGAGCTTCAGTTCACTTTCTCTTTTTTTTTTTATATATATATATATTTCACCGATCTTTGACAGAGAGGAGGGGAGAGGGATAGAGAGTCAGAAACATCCATGAGAGAGAAACATCGATCAGCTACCTCCTGCACACTCCTCACTGAGGATGTGCCCGCAACCAAGGTACATGCCCTTGACCAGAATCGAAACTGGGACCCTTCAGTCCGCAGGCCGACGCTCTATCCACTGAGCCAAACCGGGTAGGGCTCACTTTCTCTTTTTAAAGGGGTTTCTGAATGGCCAAAAAACAATCTGCTGATCACAAGCTATAATGCAAGAAAAACAAGTTCCAACTCATAATCTCCAGTTCTTTACCAAATTAATAAATGAATCAAGAGAATGTCTGAATCCAGATAAATGTATTTGGGAAACCAGAATATATATTTGGTAGCATATACTAGTCTCTCCCTTCTTCATTTTCAATGGTTTTATATTCCCTCACAGAGTTCACAGGAAAATAAGCTTAACTGACCATACAAATATATTTCTAATTTGCTCTCTTCCCTGGCTGTATCTCACACTCATTTGTATTTAAAAAACAGAAAAACATGATTAGGCTCTTTACAGACGAGACTTAGTGGTCCAAAGCAATTTTTTTTTTTAATTCTAGAAGACATTAAGAAAAGCTATCAGTGAGAACCACTGACAAACACTGATGCTTAAGTAAGCCAGAGTACAGGGTCCCCACAGACAGGAGAAAAACACTATGCAAACCAACATCTATATCCTATATAATAAAGAGGTGATATGCAAATTAACCCTCACACCCTCACAAGATGGCTGCCTACGACCAGGCCGGCATGGGGGTTAGTGAGGGACAACCAAACAACTGAACAGCAGGCTGCGTGGGCCGACCAGGCCAGTGGAAAGGCTGTGAGGGGTGACCAGGCTGGCGGGGGGGGGTGGACAATTGAGGCGACCAGGCCAGCAGGGGGGCAGTTGGGGGCAACCCAGCTAGCAGAGGGGGGGCAGTTGGGGCAACCAGTCTGGCAGGGGGGGCAGAAGAGGTGACCAGCCGGTGCGGGGGGAGGCAGTTAGGGGCGACCAGGCCGGTGGAGGGGTGCAGTTGGGGGCAACCAGGCCAGCAGAGAGGGGCAGTAAGAGGTGACCAGTCCGGCAGGGGTGGGGAAGCAGCTAGCAGCAACCAGGCTGGTAGGGAGGGGGTAGTTGGCAGTGACCTGGTTGGCAGCAAGGGGTAGTTAGGGGCGACCAGACCAGCAGGGGGGGAAGTTAGGGGTGATCAGGCCGGCACATAGAGGCAGTGAGGGGTGATCAGGCCGGCAGGCAGGTGAGTGATTAGGAGCCAGCAGTCCAGGATTGTAGGAGGGTTGTCCGACTGCCGGTTTAGGCCCAATCCCCGGGATTGGGCCTAAACTGGCAGTCAGACATCCCCCAAGGAGTCCCAGATTGGAGAGAGTGTAGGCTGGGCTGAGGGGACCCCTCTCCCCATGCACGAATTTTGTGCACTGGGCCTCTAGTGTGTGTGTGTGTATATATATATATATATATATATATATATGCCCAAAACCCATTATGGTGGAACAACCAGGATGACCCGTGACTATGACGTAAACTGCAGTAGCCAACAAGCCTGATCCGGGTCCTCCCACCCTCCCACCTCAATTGGCCCCTAACAGGAGGAGAAGCTGAAGTGGGGAACAGAGCAGGTAGCAGCTCGATGGAGTTACAGCGGTGGCGGCAGCGGCGGTGAGTACACCACTGCCTCCCAAGCCCCAAGTCCTGGGGAGTGGGGGGAGAGGGGGGCAGCAGCAGGGAGCGCTGGCCAGTCCAGCCACTGCACCTCCATCCACCCAGCCACCGTCACCACACCCAGGGACCACCAGCCATGGCCGTGCCACCCAATCCCCAAGAAGAGCTGCTGCCACTAGCTGGCCCCAGGTCCCAGTGGTTTGGGGACCAGGAGGGAGGGGAGGATGAAGTGGTGACACCGAAAGGGGCGAGGCCAGCACCACAGGCGGGGGAGTCCGGCTGGGGGTTGGGCGCGAGGGCCAGGGAAGCAGTGCCCTGGAAACGTGGCTTGAACCCTGCCTGGCCGCCACCTGTTGTCATGGAAGCTGCATCGACAGGTAAAGTGGGCGGGTGGGTGGGCGGGGGCCACAGCCCCGCAAATGGCATCAGGGACCAGGATCCCCAAACTGCCCCCTCCCCACAGTGCACCTCTGCACCTTCCTCGAGCTTCCCACCTTAGCACCAATCTCCACCCCAAGACCCCACACATACCCTGCTTCACCACAGGTAACTATAAATGTAAGCAGATCGGTCAAAAACCTGAATTTCATTTTCCCAAAGACTTGGAAGAAAACAAAATACTATTAATTCTTTTATTTAATGATCATCATTATTCTGGCTTTTAAAATGGTCCTTAGAGGCAAACCGCAGCACTTGGTGCTAGAGTGCCTGTGTACAAGTTTCTTCCTTTTGTCAAGGGGTTGGGGCTATTAAGGGGCTGTTAGGGGCCTCTTGGCCAGGTGCAATGATTTCAGGGGGCGCGTTTGCACTCATGCACGCCAGCAACCTGGACACTGACAACAAAGCGACGGGCAGGCCCGCTGTCCCTAAACCCGGCTGTCCGGGGCATAGAGGTGACTTTAACCAGCCCTTTGATCCCTCCATGAATCGCCATACCCTACTCCCTCATTGGTCCCCTCTTCCCATCCTCCATTTCTCCTTCTCTCTGTGCAGGAAACAGAAATCCCAGGGTGTGTATGTCTAATTCAGGAGGGTCAGTGTTGCCAGAGGGCTGGGGGTTGCCTTTTGTTCCCAGTTGCCAGGATGGAGAGAACACTGACTCTTACAGGTAGCACTGAAACTTGCAACCCCTTCAAGAAGCCGGCCTGGCTGTGGTGTTACAGGACTTGCGTGGGGAGAGGGTGAGGTTCAGCTTACCAGCAGTCTGGACTCGCCTGGGCTTCTGAAAATTGCCCTGGTTCCACCTCCCTTTTCCTGTCTCCCCAGCTTCTGAACCATAGCACTCAGGTGTCCAGAGGGGACACCAGAGGGGGTCTGAGGCATCCTGGCCCAGGGTTGCAGGAGGCACGTTCCAGGAGGAGCTGCTGGCCTGGTAGTGCTGTTTTTCTAGGGCCTGGGGAAGAGGGTGCTGTGTTGCATGCCCTGAGAAAGCTTTGTTGTGGTAGAATGGGAGTGAGTAGTTTTGGAAATGTAGCTTTCCAAGGCCTGGGGTGCTGAGCGCTCCCAGCGGAGGGGAAAGGCAGCAGGACTGGCCTTCGCATTCTAGGCAGCTGAATTACGGGAACCTCTTTATTAAGCCACTGGCTCTTACTGGTCATGTGATGTGGCCTTAGGCAGCTTTAACTCTGCTCCAGTACAAGATTTGAACTGAGAGGAGGAGGCTTGGGGAATGCGTTGAATAAAATGGCAACATTCTGAAGGGAAGAGAAAAAACGACCATCTTAACAACCAAAAAAAGAAAAGAAGACTTAAATTTGAAAAACCCATTTGTCCTATGTTAATTATTATATGAGAGGTTGATGGTGGGGGTGGGGAGGAGCAGTGAGGGGAGAGAATAAAACTAAGATGGCTGCCTGGCCTTTCAACTTCTTCATCTAAGGTAAGTGGAAACAAGACTCTTTATCATTGCAAATTAAGATGGCAAAAGATAATAGGTAAATAAAGGTACCTTTTTTTGTTGGTTACCATTAACATTCTTTGATGAGGGTAGCTCATGGTTCAGAACTTTTATCCACCATCATCAAAGTAAATTATTTCTTTATAGACATGGCTTACCTCCCATTAGTGTCACCAGGGTCTGGTGGATTAGAGAAAGGAAGCCAAGTACCCAGTGTTCAGTAATACTATCCACTAAAATGAGTTGCTATTTATACAATGTTTACAACAACTCCAGCTGTCACAAAACAGGCACTTGCAATTTTCAACATCATTATCATAATTATTATTGCAGAAATACTGTACTTTGTTAGCTGTCATAGGGGTTTCCTATCCTAGGCAACAAATCTATCTACATAAAAGCCTAATATGCAAAGTGTTCCCTTGGGAGTTTGACTGACCAGGAATTCGATCGCTCACTATGACACGCACTGACCACCAGGGGGTGGTGCTGAATGAAGGCAGGCCCCGGCCAGCAGCTGGGGAAAGGAGACCCCAGCTGGCAGCCAGCAGCTGGAAGGCCCTGGCTGGCCCTGATTGCTGGCCAAGCCTAGGGACCCTACAAGTGCATAGATTTCGTGCACTGAGCCTCTAGTCCAGTGGTTCTCAACCTTCTAGCCCTTTAAATACAGTTCCTCATGTTGTGACCCAACCATAAAATTATTTTCGTTGCTACATCATAACTGTAATGTTGCTACTATTATGAATCGTAATGTAAATATCTGATATGCAGGATGGTCTTAGGCAACCCCTGTGAAAGGGTTGTTCGACTGCCAAAGGGGTCACGACCCACAGGTTGAGAACCGTTGCATCTAGTCTAATAATATTTATGCTTGTCAACTGGATGCATAGTTTTCTGTCATTCATGTCCTTGAGCTTAAAAAGATTAAAAAAACAAAATGACCCTAAAAACTAAAATCTAGCTTGCTCTAAATATGTAAATATTAGGGGAGCCTAAATAAAAAAGATAGATTAACATTGGTGAGAATTAGTCTGATGATTTTTGGTTGTAAGAGTCCAGGCTTGGCAGGCAGAGATTGTATTTCAGAATAATGGTGGTGCTCTTCAACATGATAAAGCAGCTACGTGGTAGAGAAAAGGAAACAAATATCTCCAGGTCACCTGGTGGGATAGTCTCTTTTGGATGGAGTAAGAGCCAAATGGTACTGATATCACCAGGAGATGGAGTTTAGGTTTAATTTAAAAAGTAAGAAGGAACAGAAGAGGCATAATTCCCAGAGCTCTTGAGAAAGAATACAAAGTGTTGTATAATCAAAGAAAAACTAAAGAGAGCAAAAATAGCTAGGAGACTTTAGGCAATCTAAGCAGGAGAGAGCAAAGATGAGGAAACAGAGGCAAATTTCCACTATGGGAAACTTTCTGAAGGACTTTAGTGAAAGACAATATAGATAAGATTTGATAAAATAATGATTTTTTAACAGAAAAATCACAAAATCAAATAATTTCCTTATTTTTATTCAGATCATCTTGTACAGACCACAATAATGTTTTTCTATCACCTTCACTATTTCAAAATAATATATCTTGCCTCAACTGTCTAACATAAAAATTAATTTACCATGGATACACAACATAGTCCTTGCCCTTACCTATGAGGTCGGTTGGGCCAGTTCCCAGGTTTTCTCCTCTAATTGTGACCTTGGTCCATGGTATTCCTTCATTTGGAGAGATGCCTGTCACAAGGGGGGGTTGTCGTGAACGAGACATTGTGATTTGTTGAGCAAACTGAAGATCTAGTAACAAAGATAATCTGTTGAAAGATAAAAAAGGATTAAAGCCAACTGAGATAAGCACTGACTCAAAATATAAGAATTCTAGACATTAGGTACCAAAACATAAAATGTATTCTTAAACAGTAGTCCCGAACTTTTTGGATGCCTGCCAACATCTACTGCACTTTAAGTTTACTAAGAACACTCTAGATCAGTGGTTCTCAACCTTCTTAATACCACGACCCTTACAGTTCCTCATGTTGTGGTGACCCCTAATTTCATTGTTACAAACTGAACATAATTAAAGCATAGTGATTAATCACAAAAACAATATGTAATTATATATGTGTTTTCCGATGGTCTTAGGCGACCCCTGTGAAAGGGTTGTTCTACCCGCAAAGGGGTCATGACCCACAGGTTGAGAACCGCTGCTCTAGATCAAGCATGCCAAACTCACAGCCCACAACGAATACTTTTGCAGCCTACCCAATATAATGGTATGTAATCAACATTTTAATAAAAATTTCGTAACTTAATTTGTATAATATTCTGTTACTCAAAATTATTAACTAACTACAACATCTGCTAATGACTGATTACTATAATCCGGTTGCATTTATTTCCTTTATGCGCCTTGCGCGCAGGCAAGCCATTTCTCTCCACTAATACTAGCAGCGAATATTTTAGCAGCCTATTGTCAAGTCATTAGTCTTGTACTGATTTGTTTGGTGTGCGCAAAAGTAAATATTTCGCTTTTGGAGAACAAGAAAAATAGGTTTGTGTTACAATTATTAATTTGTGCAGTTATTTAGTGTCTGGTAAGTTAATGTTCAAGAAAAATATTTTTTATTAAAATGTTCTATTATTTTATGTAAATGATTACTCATTTATTTCAGCCATTTGTATTCAGCATGTCTCTATCGAAATAAACCTACGTTTCTATGAATATTGAAGCATTATTTTTTGCAGCCCACATAAACCTAAAATTTGTTTATTTGACCTGTGTTAGCCTTTGAGTTTGACATGCTTGCTCTAGCTCAGGGGTGGGCAAACTTTTTGACTCATGGGCCACAATGGGTTCTTAAACTGGACCGGAGGGCCGGAACAAAAGCATGGATGGAGTGTTTGTGTGAACTAATATAAATTCAAAGTAAACATCATTACATAAAAGGGTACGGACTTTTTTTTTTTAGTTTTATTCATTTCAAACGGGCCGGATCCGGCCCACGGGCCATAGTTTGCCCAAGGCTGCAGCTAGTACTGTGAGGAATATATCAGAAAACTAACAGAAAATTAAGCCCTTGGTAATAAGAACTTTCACAACACAATAGACCAGTGGTTCTCAACCTTGGCTGCACATTAGAATCACCTGGGAATCTTTTTAAAATCCTGATTTCTGAGCCTCATCCTCCAGAAATTCTGTTTCTTTGTTATGGGGTGGGGCCACAACATTAGTAACAAAGAAACAGAATTTCTGGAGGATGAGGCCCAGAAATCAGGATTTTAAAAAGATTCCCAGGTGATTCTAATGTGCAGCCAAGGTTGAGAACCACTGCAATAGACAGAACCTAATGTCACTATTTACCTCCATGCCTACACCTGAATCCCACATATAAGCTAGAGCAGCCGTGGGCAAACTACGGCCCGCGGGCCGGATCCAGCCCGTTTGAAATGAATAAAACTAAAAAAAAAAAAGACCGTACCCTTTTATGTAATGATGTTTACTTTGAATTTATATTAGTTCACACAAACACTCCATCCATGCTTTTGTTCCGGCCCTCCGGTCCAGTTTAAGAACCCACTGTGGCCCTCAAGTCAAAAAGTTTGCCCACCCCTGAGCTAGACACTGTTCTACTCCCCCAAATTAAGAAAAATATTCCGATTAACTATATTCATAAAAAGTAAATTATATTCCCATAAGTGCATGGAATTTCACTTTATTTTTGTATTGTACTTATTAGAGCAATTCTTTATTATTAATATGTTCAAATCAATATATTTACATTTTTATAAAAACTAGAATGTTGAAATACAGGCAAAAGTGTGAAATGGTAAAAGTCCAGTTTCTCAGGTCAAATACATCTGTCACCAAGTCGTGGTGCTCCAATTTACTAATTGTGTTATAAATCTCTGTTTTTGTTTGTGTAAAAAGGAGCTAACAGAACCTTTCATGGTTATAATTAAGGTTATGTAGGATAATTCTAACAAAGCAACGTACCTAGTACACAGACAACCAATCTACACTAATAAAAGAGAAACATGGTAATTGGCCTACGACCGCTACCCTTCCCATTGGCTAATCAGGGCAATATGCAAATTAACTGTCAGCCAAGATGGAAGCCTGCAGCCAGGCAGCTAGAAACTAACATGAGGCTTGCTTGCTTCAGTGACAGAGGACTCCAATGTTCCCCGCCTGCCGCTACAGGCCTCTGAGCCTGCAGTTTCAAACATTGTAACAAATACAGATGCTAAACAAAACTCCAGAAACCAGCTTGCAGTCCGCTGGGATCTCAGAGCTGGAGTTGATACAGAGTTTCGATTATAGAACCCAAACAAACCAGATACCTGCTTTCAGGAGCGGAGGCCTAAGAGCTGGAGCCTCAGAGCTAAAGCTGGCCCAGAATAAAAAAAGAAAAAAGAAAAAAAGGAGCAGTTGGGAGCTTCAGTCCCAGCCTGAAAACAGCCCTCAGCCCCTCACCCAGACTGGCCAGGCACCCCAGTGGGGACCCCCACCCTGAAGGGTGTGTGACCAGCTGCAAACAGCCATCATCCCCTCATCCACGCTGGCCAGGCACCCCAGTGGGGACCCCCAACCTGAAGGGTGTGTAACCAGCTGCAAACAGCCATCATCCCCTCATCCAGGCTGGCCAGGCACCCCAGTGGGGACCCCCACCCTGATCCAGGACACCCTTCAGGGCAAACCAGCCGGCACCCACCCGTGCACCAGGACTCTATTCTATATAGTAAAAGGGTAATATGCCTCCCAGCACCGGGATCAGTGGAGCTGTGAGGCCTCCTGGCACCGGGATCAGCGTGACAGGGGGCAGCGCCCAAACCCCCTGATTGCCCTGCGGCTCTGTGTGTGACAGGGGGTGGGGCCACAACCTCCCTATCCGCCCTGCTCCGTTCGTGACAGGGGAAGGCGCCCCAACCCCCTGATCGGCCCTGCTCTGTGGGTGATACAGGGTGGCGCATCAACCCCCCCCCCCCCCACGGGCCCTGCTCCGTGTGTGATGGGGTAGAGCCATAACCTCCCCATCGGCCCTGTCCTGAGTGTGACAGTGGCGGCACCCCAACCCCCTGATCGGCCCTGCTCTGTGGGTGATAGAGGGCGGCGCCCCAACCCCCTGATCCGCCCTGCTCTGTGCGTGACAGGGGGCAGTGCCCCAACCCCCTGATTGGCCCTGCTCTGTGCGTGACAGGGGGTGGCATCGCAACCTCCCAATCTGCCCTGCTCTGTGCATGACAGGGGAGGTTCCCCAACTCCCCAATTGGCCCTGCTCTGAGCCCAACCATGGGCTGCACCTAGGGATTGGGCCTGCCCTCTGCCCCCGGGAGCAGGCCTAAGCCAGCAGGTCGTTATCTCCCAAGGGGTCCCAGACTGTGAGAGGGCACAGGCCCGGCTGAGGGACCCCTCTCCCCCCGAGTGCACAAATTTTTGTGCACCAAGGAAGGAAATAATAAAGATCAGAGTGAACATACATGACATAGAGACCAAAAAAACAATACAAAAGATCAACAAAACCAAGAGCTGGTTCTTTGAAAGGATAAATAAGATTGATGAATCTCTAGCCAGCCTCACCAAGAAGCAAAGAGAAAGGAACCAAATAAACAAAATCAGAAATGAAAGAGGTGAAGTAACAACCGATCCCACAGAAATAAAAACAATTATGAAAAAAACACTATGAGCAACGATATTCCAACAAAATGGACAACCTAGATGAAATGGACATATTCTTAGAAAAATACAAGCTCCCAAAGCTCAATCAAGAAGAATCAAAAAACCTAAATATGCCAATAACTACCAAAGAAATTGAAGCAGCAATCAAAAATATTGCAGCAAACATAAGCCCTGGACCGGACGGCTTTGCAGGGAAGTTCTACCAAGCATTCTTAAAAGAACTAAAATCTATCCTCCTCAGATTATTCCAAAAAATTGAAGAGGAAGGCACACTACCAAGCTCTTTCGATGAAGCCAGCATTACCATAATCCCAAAACCAGATAAAGACACCACAAAAAAAGAGAACTACAGGCCAATATCCTGAATGAACATATATGCTACAATCTCAACAAAATTCTAGCAAATTGGATCAAGCATTACATTAAAAAGGTCATACACCATGACCAAGTGGGATTTATTCCAGGGAGGAAAGCATGGTACAATATCCGCAAATCAATAAATGTGATACATCACATAAACAAACTGAGAGACAAAAATCACGGAAGCATATCAAATGATGCAGAAAAAGCATTTGAAAAATTCCAACACCCTTTCTTGATAAAAACTCTCAGCAAAGTGGGAATAGAACAGACATGGGCAAACTACGGCCCGCGGGCCGAATCCAGCCCGTTTGAAATGAATAAAACTAAAAAAAAAAAAAGACCGTACCCTTTTATGTAATGATGTTTACTTTGAATATATATTAGTTCATACAAACACTCCATCCATGCTTTTGTTCCTGCCCTCCGGTCCAGTTTAAGAACCCATTGTGGCCCTTGAGTCAAAAAGTTTGCCCACCCCTGGAATAGAAGGATCATACCTCAACATAATAAAAGCCTTATAAGATAAACCTACAGCCAACATCATACTCAATGGCCAAAAACTAAACTCATTTGCCCTAGAACAGGAACGAGACAAGGATGCCCACTTTACCATTCCTGTTCAATATAGTACTGGAAGTCCTAGCCATAGCAAGCAGACAAGAAGAAGATATAAGAGGCATCCAAACTGGAAAAGAAGAAGTAAAACTGTCCTTATTCGCAGATGACATACTATACATAGAAAACCCAGAAACTCTAACAAAATAACTACTAGAC